TCATCCCTTTCAATGCTTTACCTTACAATGCCGGTACATCAACTAACTTCCTCGGCCGATCCCCTCCCCTCCCCTTCCCCGCATTCTAGGAACCCGGAGAAGAGGCAATATTTGGGGGTCAAAAGGCCCGATACATGCAGGTGGAAGCCGGCTTCAAGTTGCCATTCTGGGACTCTTGTCCATCGGGAGGTCGGCACTTGAGTGAGGGGTTCAATACGATCTTTGTAGCAGACATATGATGAGCAAATATATCTTCAACACAGCCGAGAAGCCTCCGCTCCGTCCGCCACTTACTCCATACGCGCATGGAATCGAGCGCGGTAGACGCACCTGACCATTATGTTGCAGTATCGATTAGCTTTCGGGATATCTCTCAATCAATTAAACCAGGATGAACAAAAATATAGTACGGTCGGTACCTCGCTTGCGTGCGAGCGAGCCATCTGGAAGAAAGCTGTCAAGGGGTTCATTCCTGAAAAACGAATGGTCTTAGTTCTTTCTTAGTGATGCTTGCTTGCTTTGAGAAATACGACCGAAAGAATAGTATATCTTGATCCAGCACCGCCGAAGAGACTCCGCGCTTCTTTCTGTTTGCATCAAAGACCTTTTGGGTTGGGTGAGAAGGCTCATCATCAGTAAGCATCAAGACGCACTTATCAGCTCAAACAAAATAAAACAAAATCATGAGTTTTGATTTAGTATTGTGGAGATGTCTTTTTTGTCCCAAATTCCTACAGTATAATTCGCAGCCATGCCATGGTATATCCCTTTCCTTTTTCCTTTCAAATGAGCCTGCCTGTCCAGTTCATGCCGCGCCAAGCTAGCTCGTAGATACACTATCCGTATCCCTCTGCTTCATGCATCACTTCCCCGGTGTGTTAGCCCCCATGAAAACGCTATTGCCATATTGTGGCGCGTCATTCGATTGCCCATCTGGATTCAACTGCGGTTGATCGTTATTCGTCGGGTAGAACTGGAATGCTGGATCGATGGCGTTGCCGTTCTGGATGTATGAGTCCCATGCCTCCTGTATACTTGTTAGTAATCTTGTTCGTCCGGTTCGGGAGGCGAATAACTTACCCAGTCCAGGTTTGCTGGCACGTCCATCATTCCAGTGCCAGTTCCCGCATTATTGAAGACCGAGAAGGGTGATGCCACACTATTCATCGAAGCGAAGGGGTTTGTGCTGTCCATTTGGTAGTTGGGGGTAAGTCCTGTTCCCGTACTGCTAGATGGGTCGGACATGTTCATGTCCATGTTGCCATATCTTGTGCCCCCAGGTGACTGAGCCATAGAATTGAACAGAGCTGCAGAGTTGGGTGTCAAACCACCCGACATCATACCGAGAGTCATTGCTGCCGAATGCTCGGGCTTCATACTCTCTTCATCAAATTGTGCAAAGACTTCATTTGTCGTCGGGCCATCTGGCGCGGGCCCTTTCGGACATCGGAGCTTCTCAAGCATAATCCCAAGAACGCTGGATGCTTTATAGGCTTCCATAGATGTCTCAGCTGTTGCTTTCCATATCTCTTGCGATGATTCGAGCGCTTTGAACATCTCTGCACGTTGTGCGGGGGTCCAGAAATATCGGTCATAGTTTGGAGGACGGTCTACCATCGTTTTGGAGACTTGATCGTAATGCAGATCGAGACACACAATCATGGCCCCAAGCAAGTAATCGTGCTTCGTGAGAGACGAAATGAACCATTTCATAGATCGCAATCGACCTCCGGGTTGTGATTCGCAATTGAGTTTAGCCTGGTGACGAAGAATTTCCATAGATGCATCAACACACGCACGACGCGAGTGAGCATATCGAGGATTCTGTCGAGCTCGAGCGATGTACTTTCGGTGAAGAACACACATCGTCTTTTGCCAAAATATATCGATATTGAACCGCTGCATCAACAATGTTGCAGGATCATGCATACATTCCTCTAAAGGACGTAGACGGAGATGTGGGGGCATGTCGTTCTTCAGCTCTCGTAGACGATTATCACGCTGCAGGATCTCATCATAACTGATAGCCTTGCCCGTAACCGCGTTGATCTCCTCCAATATAGAACCAAATTCGAAAGATATTTGGGCCTTCATGATCATATACGATATTGGTGTGGGCTCTGTAAAAGGCCTTGCTGGTGGTAGTATTTTGCTTTCTGGACCAAACTCGTCTTCGAATATATTGCGGGGTAATACAGTGTCTGCATCAGAGTTCCGAATCATACTTGGTAGAGCTAGTTGAAATGAGAACATCGTATCAAGTTGGCGTATAAAGGACCATATCCGCCGCCTCATTTCTCCCTGGAAGGGTGAGAGGTTTGGGTAATTGCTCGGATCGCGGTGATATCCCATCCTCAGAGATAATCGAACAATGATACCTGCTATAACCCAAATTCCCACCTCTGCGTCCCACCGGCTTGCGTACTCGCCATGTATGTAAAGAAGGAGCGTTTCAATAGTATACGTTGATGACTTGGTGTAATCTGAGTTGACGAGGCATTGCACCTGTAGGTCTTTGGGTTAGCGCTGTTCGACCAAGGATAACTGCTTTGAAGATTGGAAATGTTGAGAGAAGGCATGGTCGAAAAAGCTGTCACAAGTGGGGTTGAAGACTTACAGTACGCAATCTATATTCTGCGGCTAGCTCGTTTGTACGACCTGAAACTGCATTAATTTTCCTTCTGATGTTTAAGCCTGATTTCCTCGACTTACCTTTCCATTCTAATGGCTCATCCCCAATCTTGTGGTAGGATTGCATGGCCAGGCAGAGAATGGAGTATAGAAGACCAAGCCATACTATTGAGCTCTTTGACGGATCTTGCCAGTGATTATGAAGCTCCTTGTGAAATGTCGGGGAATGAAGGATGTGTAAAGCAGGGTCGTACGAATTGAAGTATCGAGTCACGAGCTTGTCGACAGCCGATTTGGTTGGCACCTCCCCACGCAACTCAACATCCGTGACAGGGCTCTGAGCACTGAAAAGGAATGCTGGCCCATCAATCGCGGAACGGGGCTTCGATTGCCGGATCCTCTCGTAGTTTTTTTCCAGGTCCTGTTTGTGCGCGGAAAAATAGTTTTTGACTTCGGTGATCTAATTTAAAATTTAGTGAACGTTCAAACTGAACTTGTAACAGCTATCGTTGCGGAAATTGCAACTGTGCAAAGACAATGTTACATCTAACTCGGGATGAAAACCTGTTCAAGGCCAACAATCTGAGGGCATTTTCCCCGAACGTCGAGATAGTTGTGCCGCTTGAGATATCAGAAAATATGGAAGACTCTCGCGGGCTCAACGGTCTGCTTGCCAGTTACCATGACTCTGTCCTCGTGTTGGCCAAGAAGCCGAACACCTTTGAAATGGTATTTTAAAGTCTAGCAAACAAGGCATCGCATAAAATTTAGAAAAGATGATGGACTTACGTCTGCTAGAACTGCATGCCAATGTGAGTCCCCAATGTATAATGACTTCCCCTTATCTGCGTCTACTTTCAGATGGCCGAGAGAGCTAGTTACCCCTTCAACCTCACTATTCTCACCTTCGTCTTCTTCCTTAATCATGTCATCTTCATCATTATCAAGCTCGACGGGATAGGAAATCGAACCAGCACTATCGCTCTGTGAGCGGGAGATGGCAGCAGCGGCCGCGGCTGGACCAGCAGACTGGGCGCCATTGGTCATCAACGACAGAACTAGGCCTTCTAAACGGTCAATACGGTTTTGCATATCATCAGGGCTGGTTGCTCCTTGACTTTGATTCTTCTTGCGCGTGCCCGGCGCTGCATACGAACAGGAGGAAGCGTCACCCCTCCTGATGCAGTTCTCGCATGGATGCGACCGATTACACTTCAATCTGCAACTTGTCAGTATCGCCGGTGGTCTCGTGGAGCGCTTTTACCTCAAAGAAGATAGCGGGGGGGAGCGAAACTCACTTCCTATGCCTGCACGGCCCACATGACAGGGGGACTCTGTTTCTCTTCCGTACGACCCGGAACTGGGCGTCTGGAGAGTGCCCTCCCGCGCTGGAGGAGGTTGTGGATGGTGGCGTTGGCGTCATGATGATGAATTATGGAAAGAGGAGGTTTTGAGACTGAACGTTGGGGAATCTGATTCTTCTCAACACCAGCCACAAGTGGGTCTCCGTCTTCAGAAGGAGTATCTGGCGGTGTATTATACAGGCTCTTGAGTAAGATCAGACCTTCTGTTGATACCAACGTGGGCCAATCGTCGTAGAGGATCAGAGTGAGATGAACGCAATGCCTTGGAGATCAACCCTGAGTCGGCTAGGCCAACAATGGGGGCGATGTCCCGTTCCACGAAATCCACCAGCCCTGTCGGAAGGCTTAGTGGTGGAGATAGAGTTGGTGTTGCAGCTGTCAAAGAACCTTATGTCCACCCAGCAGGTCTGGGCCAACCCCTAGAGTTGACGTATATAGGCTTTACCTCTCCCTACACAGCGAATTCGCCTCCTTCACCTAAATCGATCAGACGAGCTACTCGGCCCTCTTCAGTACCAGCCTGCGACACGTCTTCTAGATGAAGTGGCAATCTTCTTTCCCAAAGCAACACTAGCAACGGTGAAGCTGACCTCCTGTCCCCGACGTGCAGCACCAAATCTACTGCCTATTCCAAATAAAACCCACAACCACAACCTTCGCAGAGCCAATGCACTGTCCAGATATTATACCGGGAAATGCGCTCATGCAACACTTGCACTTCTCCACCACGGCAACGGTCTTCTCGGACGAGTATAGAGCTGACGAAGCGCGAGCGCAAGACAAATATATCCTTGAATATGCAGTCGACTGCAACCCTCCGAACTGGTCCAACGCGGCAGGAATGGAACGCACAGCGGACCAAGAATTGAAGGCGTGCGAATATGCGACTACGGTCGTCTGAATGAAATGGACTCGATGAGGAAATCGATGTTTCCAAGGTATTCTACGGAGATGCCGTTAGTTTTGGACTTCTCTTCGTCGCATTACTAATGCGCGACTTACAGATCACACCAAGAGCCCAAAGTAAAGCTATCTAATCCAATGCAATGCACTGCAAATGCAAATACAAATGCGGCGGATTTTCCTATAGCACGGTGACGGTATCCCTAAAGAGCGACGCCAACTTCTTCGGCGCAATAATGTATCCGACCACGAAGTATTCCAGTATATCTCCGAAATGCGCCTTCTGTATGTTGAATGTATCCGAAGGCCGTGTGTCGCGGTTTACTGATCTGGTGGTGGTGGTGGGTTGAGGTTGAGCCTTGCCCTTTGCTTAACGGACGTGCTGATGATGCTGCTACCTGCAGCGAATAGACGGACGTTCTGGATCCTGACGCCGACGCCGATTCTTTTTCCTCTACAGTAAGCTTTTGAAAATGGACTTACGGACGGAACGTTGGTTTGCTCACTCAGATTGATTTCAAATAATATATTTGTCCGTGGGTGGCAAAGGTCTGGTCCAAAAGGGCTTATTTATGGATAAATGCAATGCGCAATGGAGTCTGCAATAACCTTAGTATCGTATCCTACCTATCCTTCGATTCCTTCCTAGGCTAGGCAGCTGACATATACGACGCCAAACGCATGATAGTAGTAAGCAGATCTCAATGGTGGATGAGTCACTTCTGCTATATGTGGAAGCACAAGAACGGGAATATTCGACAATAATGTCTACTTTCAGTCCAACGACAAGCCTTGATGAGGTCTAAATCCGATTGCTATCTCCGAGATCAATCAATCGCTTTTTAACGAGTGACTCTGGAATGTTTTGCACCACGAACCTTAATTTACGCGTGAGACTTGTTTGTCATAGAGCCGTTTGCATACTATTGAAAGGTTTACTCTTTCTATATAGGTATTCAACGGCAATATGTCTTGATTAAGGCAGTCTCAGTGATGAACAAATTCCTCGAGTTCCAAAACATTCACTAAAAGACATTCTTGCATATTTCAGATTACGAGTAATATACAGATTTGATATAAATGCTAACTTCCTTCCCCAGCAATTCTTTCACTGTATATTACAACCAGCAAATTGCTTCTCTTGTCCATTTCTCTTCAACTTCGTACAACGGCGCTCTTAGTTGTAAAGCTCTAGCTAAACCAATATTGTACGCAGTCCCAGTAGGCATTGAGAATCAAGTATTTGTCTTTTCCCTATGAAAAAGAATCGGATTCCACCACTCGATTTCCCTGGAAAGCGACGCCAAACTTTGTCGCTGTCAGCAACGGACTCGGCGAGCCCGTTCTTCCCCGTGCCGAGCCGAGTTTCTTTGATTACCCAGACATCCGTCTAATATGCAAGTCTTCATCGAAATAACTCTCTTTCCCCAGGCAAAGCTGCATCTCAGAAACGAAGACGAGGTTCATCATTACCACAGGCTTCTTCCTTATATTTTGATCAATTCCTTCGGCTTGATTTTCATCCGCCAATACCAAATCCGTACCAAATACTATCTTTTGGGGCAGCTCCTCTCTCCAATTCCTCCACAGTCGCCGTGCAAAGATCGCGGTTTGCTTCTGGAATTTCCCATTGAGCAACTTCGTTAACCCGACTGAGGAATTGCATAGCCAGACCAGCTTCCGAGTGCCACGCCATGTGGCAATGGAAAGCCCAGACTCCCGGGTTGTCTGCTACGAATCTTAAAGCGAGCCAGCCAAACCCTTCAGCAGTTGCTACATCTCTCCGGATCAAGTTATCCAAAGCGCCTTCATGGCCAACCAGAATGCCCTTGCCTTCTGGTTGCAGTCCCAAAAATTCATAACCAGGAAACATGCCGTGCCCTTGACCAAGCACGTAGAATTTGTGGCCATGTAAGTGCATAGGGTGGTTTCCTTCATCAAAGTTCTGAATAATGAGATCCACGGTTTTGATTCCCGTATGTTGGATCACGAAATCATTCTTCAGGTCATATGCCACAGAATTGACACCATTTATGTTGCTGCTGGTGGTAAATGTATCATTTCGGCTGGTCAAACCTTCAACTGAGCGATGCAGGGTCGGTTGTTGTAGATTTGGTCGCAGTGTCGAGGTATTGAAAAATCCTCGTTCCAGGCGCCAGTCGCCTATTTCAAGATTGGAACGAAGGTAATAGCTGAAATCCGCGGCCACAGGAGCAGGCTCGACGCTGGCGGGAACATACGAAGTTGTGTTCATATCGCGGCATTGCACTTCCATTCCTTGCTTCCAGTTCTCGGAACTTGGTAGGGGCATTACGGACTTGGTTAACTTTCTTCCACCCGGCTTCGTGTATTGGATGACAGCTTGAACTTCGTCCGCACCCGGGCCTGGAAGCTCTGGATTTTTCCACTAAATGACGGGAAAGTTAGTTATTTCCTATTTAAGACGAGTTCGGGAGTAGAAGGAGCTTATATTTCCAGTTTGGGTATTCATAGGAGGATGTAAAACGCATGAGACGAAAAATGGCAGAAGGGGGGAGGGTAAAATCAAAAAGCTAGTTATCCTTACGCAGTGAGTGACCATCTTTGCACGAAGCCAAAACGACTCCGCGGAAGACTGGTTCGTATTCAAAATTATGCTATATCTCTGGGCTGGACTAATGATCAATCTCGTCTCATAAGCCGGGATAAGATCCGTCCCGTCTGCCTCGGTGACAGCAAATCCATGCTCGTCAACGCTCACTTGAAACCAGGCAAATGCACCAACATTAATAAAGCGAAGGCGATGGTTTGCGTTGGCAGTCAAACCAAAGAACGGGCGACTGCAGGACGAGTTGTCGCACATTCGATGCGGTAGCTCAGAACAGTCTCGTTGGTTCAAGCCGTTGATAAGGGCTCCATTTGGGATTGGAGAAGCCTCGCTGCCTGGCTCCAGTGCGCTGACAAGCAGTCCACTACTGAGGTCGTGATAATAGTCCTGGAGCATAATGACTCGGTCTGTCTTGTATGGGATTTTCTGCAGGTTCTTCTCGTCCTTCCCATGAATTACAAGAGGTCCATACAGCCCATCGGATGCTTGGACAGCCTGATGCCCGTGATAGTAGTATGATCCGGACTGCGCAGTAACAGTGAATTCGTACCGAAATTTGCGTTGGGGGGCAATAGGGCATTGGGTAATGCCTGCTGTGCCATCCATCCAGTTTGTTCCATTTTGATAGATGCCGTGGAAATGTATGGATGTTGCGTTGACGCTCTGGTTATCCACGTCAATTACTAGAGTATCTCCCTCGTTGCATTCGATCATAGGCCCTGGAAATAGGCCGTTGATCGTAAGCATAGGCCTAAAGACTCCATCTGGATTCCCCACGATATCTGTGATCGTCCACTTGTATGCTCTGACCTTCCGCTCTGCGTCAAAGTCCCAGGAGGGATCGAGGATGTAGTCACTCGCTGGTCGGCGGAAGCTTCCAATGCCAGACATTTCCATATCTTCATCACTCGGCTTGTCAGAGACGATGAAGTGCTTCGTGAAAAGCACCATCGCAGTGAAGACAAGCCCTGCAGCTAAAACCGAGCCAAGCACGGCCCATATTGTTCGCAGATGCCATTCCACCTTGTAGTCAAGTTCTTCTGCAGCCTCGACGTCCTCGCCTGCCAGAAGTCGCTGCTGTGTTTCTTCTTCGAAGCCGTCGCCGTCATCTCTTTCTTGCATCTCCAAATGGTTAAGGTCACCGCTATGGCGAGGCGCAGCTTCGTATTTATGCGAAGCCATGGTAGAACAAAAGGGGAGAATTTCACCTTGGGGTGGTTTTGGAAGCCTTCGTAAACTTTGTGATTCCGTTCAATGGTCCATCGTTCGTGAATCAACCTCGAAATCTACTCGTATGGACAGCATCGGTACAAATTGTCTGCTGCAAGAGAGCAATAATTCAGCAGGCACAGCAGATGTTCAGAAGTATAATGATGTAAGAATATAAATATAAGAGAAGGAATCTGGCACTACCCTACCTAGCCAGGTACCCAAGTCGTAAGAGAATAACGGTCATGGTCAGCAGAGGATTTTAGGTCTGGCAAGGCTTCGACTCTCCAAGGGGCAAACGATTTCCTACCTAGCCGATGAACCAGGGGACCCTGAAGATGTACTGCAAGACGATACCGAGATGGGTTATCGTCGACCTCTCGGAGCAGCGAAAGGTTGAGGATGCGCATAATCTCCCCAATCAAAAGTTCCATCTTCCCCACGGGATGCAGTCAGTCATGTTAATTTAGGAACAGGAACTAGCACCCGGCACCCCAAAGACACCTACCCTACCTACCTGCCTATTTGCAGTTAGTCTACCCGTCGCTTGTTGCGCTCCACGCCTCTTCCAGAAGTTCACAAAAAGCTTGAGTGAGGCCTTGCAGCACCAAGACTTTTGCCTGCCAATCATATGATGCACGATGCTAATCGTCCCTGTCCAGATTCACGGGTAAACTTTCAGACTCAGCATCTTGAGCACCAGAGTCGAACAGCCTCGTGCCCGTATTCTATGGCTATAAACTTCTGGACAACCTTGCCAAGCGGCACACATAACGTAATGTATCCAATGAATGGCCTAGTTCTTTATTCAACATTGGACATGCTGTTATTCGTACATACCAGCCATTCACACTAGTACAAAGTTCCCGAATCATTAACATGCAGCTACCACGTTCCCAGAGCTTATTCCAGAATGCCTTGTTAAATTCTTCTAGCTCTCCTCTAGTACCTTACATTCGTATTCTTTGGTTGAGTACAAATACCCGGCGATCCCACCCATAGCCTCGTCGTTACAAGGGAAGTCCGCGTGCTTATTACTTTTGGGGTCTGGGACTTTTTGACGCAAGACTCACAATGTCCTTTATAATGCGTTTTCTCGCTGCCGCCTCCTTAGCGGGTGCGGCCATTGCAGCCCCAGCTTCCCCAACCGCAACAGACACTGCCGATGTCTATGCTGCTCAGGCCACGGCTCGCACTTCAAGTCCAACCAGCCATGTCAAAGGCAAAGCGTTTGACAGATATGTCTCTATTTGGTTTGAGAATACCGACTTTGATATGGCGGCTGCTGATCGTAAGTCTTCTCGTAAATTAGCATAACTCGATCTTAACTTTGCCCTGCAGCCAATTTTCAATTCTTTGCCGAGAAGGGTATCACGTTAACCAACAACCTTGCTCTTACTCACCCATCTGAGCCAAATTATATGGCCGCTGTTGGCGGGTTTGTTGCCCCATTATGGTCTATATATCATTTACTAACTTCTGAAAAAGTGATTATTTCGGTCTCGACGGTGATCCATTTATCCAGGTTCCTCAAAATGTTTCCTCTGTCGTTGATCTGCTCGAGGATAAGGGCATCTCCTGGAGTCTGTACCAGGAAGATATGCCATACACTGGATTTGAGGGGTTCGCTTGGGTCAACCAACAGAATGGTGCCAATGACTACGTTCGAAAGCACAAGTGAGTTTTGAAGGAAAAGAGGACCTCATCATATACCTAGGCTGACATCTATCAAGCCCCGAGATTCTCTATAACTCTGTGGTCACCAATTCCGACAGACTTTCCAACATCAAGAACACCACCCTTTTCTATGAAGATCTCAAGGCCAACAAGCTCCCTCAGTGGATGTTCATCACTCCTAATATGACTAGTGACGGCCACGATACTTCCGTCACTGTTGCTGGCCAGTGGCTCCGCACCTTCCTGGAGCCCCTTCTAGACGACAAGAACTTCATGCAAAACACCATGGTTCTGATCACTTTCGACGAGAACGAGACTTATACCATCCAAAACCGCGTGTTCAGCGTTCTCCTCGGCGATGCCGTGCCCCAGGAGCTTGTCGGAACCACCGACTCCAACTACTACAACCACTACTCTGAAATTTCTACAGTCGAGGCTAATTGGGGTCTCTACACCCTCGGACGTTGGGACGTAGGTGCCAACGTCTTCTCCAATGTCGCTGCACACACTGGTGATAGAGTCCGATGCTGGGACGCCCAGCCAGATTTGGAGCACCGTTATTTCAACTACTCGTATAGCGGTATTTTCAACTCGAAGAGTTTCGCTGTGCAACCGGTTCCAGACGTGCACTCGAACCGTAATTTCCGCACCACTTTCCCTGCTATCAAGAAGCAATGGGAGAAGTATCAACAGTACAACTATTACCATGTAAGTTCTGCTTCCTCCTTGTTACTATAGGATATCTATAGCCTACGATGTGTAGAGATGAGAACGCAAAGCTAATGGGTTTCTCCAGGGCCAACTTGAAATCCCTGACGGATACAACCCACCTGCCGTCATCAACTACTCTACTTAAGAGAAATCAAGTAGTGATATACAAAATAACTAGGGCATATAAGAAAGATAATGCTAGTATATAATTGACGATTGTTATGAACAATACGGGTTGCTGCAAGGTGCAGATCATGATGAGCGCTGAGCCCATTCAGGTCCAACTAGACCTCTCTCCATGACTATTAAGCATAATCTGGACCATCACATATATTCCACTCTGTAGTCTAATTATTACCTTCTTACGTGAGCCTAATAACAATATAACGAATTGCACTTAGAACTACGTCTATTATCCTCTATACATGTGCTCCTCTATTTCTCATGCCTCTAAAACTAGTCTATTCATTTTGTTCAAAAGACTATTCATATGACCAGTAAATTCCCTGTCCGAAAGAATTATGCGATTCTGATTTAAAATTGTAAGTCGAAAGACGCGTAAATACCTAGGTATCTAGATACTCCCATAAGTCACCTTTCGCTAGCGCTGCTGTCAAATGATGCACGCGCGGGGCAGGGCAGCAGCGTTGAAAGCCCACTAAATGTGCCCCGCCAAACTCAACGCGTCTCCCGTCCTCCTCAAGAAACACCGCGTCCACATGGAAACAAACCATCTATTCAACATCTACAAATCCTCTCCATGAAAGCGAGCCTGCTCACGAGCATTACCGGAACTGAGCAACCCAGCCAATCCTCCTTTCCCGACCTCTTTCAGATGTCCCTCAGCCTTGAATACAATGGTGTCAACGCGCTCTAGAACCTACATGCCACTTCCGCCTGCAACTCGGAAAGGCTGGTCATCGTTCACGCTCTTCTCCAAACTCCCATTAGAAATACGTCTTATGATAGTAAGCAGCTCATACCCTGCCAATGTGTTGGAGATTCTGGCTCCCAGGAAGTTTCCTCATATGCAATGATGTTCCCGATGTTTCCTGATCTATCGTCACTTCATTCATGTCAATACGACGGCCTTTCTAATTCCACTTGTGCCATTTCTTAAGTCGTTTGGTACATAGTGTATATCGTTCACTTTCTCGTACACATGGAGTTCGTAAGTTGGAACTAGGGTTGAGCGAAGGAAGGTTGTTGATGAGTGAGTGAGTGATTATTCCGCATGTGTCTTGGGATATCCGATATCAACATGAAGAACAGGTTGGCTGGCTAGGCCCAGGTATAACTCTCTGGCGGTCGGTTTTAGGGTCTTGGAATGATGTGTGTACAAGTTTTCGTGATATTGGACGTTTTGTGTCTGTTGAGTTGAGTTCAGGGGTATTGGCTTCGTTTTACGTGTTTGGATCGACAGGAGAATGTCCGAACAGCAGAGATATAATAATGGGTGCAATTTGAGCTTCTTCTGAGCGGCTATGCTTGCTTGCTTGCTTGCGGTGTCGAGTGTATAAGTGGAGGTGGAGGTTGGGACCTAGTGCTTTTGGGTCCAAAATCCAGAAAATCCCGGACCTGTCACGAGGTATCGCTGGCATGATGAAATGCTCAGACATACGGAGGAGGCGAAACATCATCAAAGAAAGCCGGGGGATTAAGATCGCGTACTCTCGGCGGACTATGAGCATCCATCGGCCGTGTGAGTCTTGGCGTAGCGGTATTCCTCGTGGCCCTCCTACTCGCCCTAATCCCATGACTCAACGACGCAAGCACCGGCGGCTCTTTATCCAAGTTCTCCACGACAACAACGGTTCTAGTATTCCTGCTCGCATCCTCGGTATACTCCACAGACCGATACCGGCCCCTCCACATATACTTGTGCATGAACTTCCGCGAGCGCCCTAGAAGGCCTTTCTCGTACTGGTCTTCGACCGTGCCGTGCAGTTCGTAGGATGGCACGCACCGGAGCTGGGATAGCAGGTGCTGCTTTGTGGCGCAGGTTATGAGGTAGATGAACGTGCTGAGCATGAAGGCGCCGAGGAAGACGCCAGGGAAAGTCACTTCTATGAGGGTGTTGTTGGGTGTAGGGGGGTGGTACGCGCAGATGGATGTGATTGAGGTGTTTGCTGTTGCGTGGTGAGCGAGCCATGTCTCGACGCACATGGCGTGTAAGAGTGTTGGTTCCATACCGGCCGAATTTTGAGGAAAGCTGAAGTGTTGGTAAAACGTAAAACGGAAACTAGAACATTTCGTGGGAAATGATGTTGCAATGCAAGATGTACGAAATGTTTCGAAATTTTGAAATGTTTTTGGAAATGAAGGTTTGGCAGAATCGAAGAGATTATGAAGTGAAGTGTGCGATAAAAGTTTTGGGGGTAGCCCTGCCCTAGAAATAGTGTACCAGAGTTGGCTGTTATTAGGTATTGCCATGACAGTCAGATGCCCACGTTGGGTATGAACACACGAGCAGAAAAGATTCAGTCTCAGAGGAAACATAAGCCATCGAATAAAGTAGAGAAGTAATAACTGCTTTCGTTCCTCCCTTAAAACACTGTTGTATAGCGCTTTTACATCCCACGTCTTCTCCTTTCTTTCATGCCAACTTGACAAAATTGACAAGAGTTTTCAACGTCATCCTTCTGTCTTTTGTTTCACAAACTAAACACCAAATGCTGAGCATGAAACAATCCTACAAAACATGGGACATGTAGTCAAAACTTACCTGATCCTCTGGTCCAATCCTCAGACCTCCATGGAGTAGGAAAGTTTCTTTCCCCGTATCTCAGCTTCATCATCCCTCATGGTGGAATACACTCGGGGCCTCGTTCCAATGACTCGCGATCTTCCATCAGATCGGCTTCTTGCAAGCGCTTCCTGCCCATGGCTAACATCAACTTCTGTCTCGGCTTGGAGGCAGCGTAGAGGTTGATTGTCTCTCATGTTGCTCAATTCCTTTCATTTCGCGAAGTTTGTAGGGGTGGGGCGTTCCTAAGGCCCTTTGTAATCCAGCGTCTTACTCGAAGCCGGTAGCAATTACAAGGGTTAATTTATGCCAGACGCCAACGATATTGCAACCCAGGTGGGTTTACTTGATGAAGAAAAAGAACGTTCTGTATTGGAAATCCCCTCCAAATTGAAAGAGCAACACTGTCGGGATTGAGTGCGTGTATCACTAGCGACGATAGCAAAATGACAAATAGTACAGAACTATCACTTGATAAATGAAACTGCGAAACTGTAGAAAATGGAAATGACCATAATTTCAACTCCAGCAATGTAATATGCAGCAACCGGGTATTTACGCTGTCACTAAAAAACCATGCCATCAAGACGACGAACCTCCTACTTGCTACCCCTCCTTACAACATCCCCAATACTCTCATAAGTCCTAGGAGGCTGTACCACCGTAGGCTGTGCAAACGATATGCTCCGACCATCCATGGGAGACAATGGAGTATAATCGCTACCTGTGTTCTTCAGAATACTTCTCGGAGCAGAAGGAGGCGCTGCTGTTTTGCTGTTTCGCCGCTCTAGAGCTTGCTTGTAGTGATTGTAAACTCCTAGGCTGTGCGCGTCGTAGGTCTCCATCTCTTTAGTAGACTGGTCAACTAGGTCTCTGAGGTTTCTGCTGAGCTCTTCACGGATTACGGCTGCGGTTCTGCGTTTCGATGGCCCATCATTCATACCGCCCATCTCGACGTCGCCATCTCCAGAGACGGGGACACCTGAGGTCTTGACTTCCAGGGCTCCGGGCTTGAGTTCGTAGTCCTCGCTCTTGGCATCTTTTCTGGCGGGGGTTTTGAGCCGCTGCATGGTCTCCGCTACCTCTTTCTTCACTAGCTCCTTCCTTGCCTTTTCTCCGGGAGTTTCAGACTCTTCTTCAGATATCAAAGTATCCTCACTTCCCCTCTCCAACGCATCTAGCTCTTTCCGTGCTCTAGCGACCAATTTCTCGGCGTGCTGTTGCGCCAGAGACAGCATGTTGCGTCTAACGGCATCTTGTTGCGCTGGAAGATACTCGACAATCTTTTGTAGTTTCTCTTTTGCGTCTAGGACTGGCTGGTCACCTGGTGGGAGTCCAGAGAAGGGCGTGAAGATTGCAGGGGCCAGGGAGAAGGGCGTCTATGTGGGCGTCAGCTCGGTGGAAAGGTGGACGACACGTTGATTACTCGTCGAGATATGTGCCTATATAGGTGTAGGGGATGGAATTAAGCTTACTTCGACATCAGGTCTTATTTCTGGTTGTTGTGGGTCTGTTTGCAGCATTCTAACTGATATTGTATGCGGGTGCATACGACAAGTGCATAGAACAAGAGTTGCCTGATTGGTTTGAATACTCAGATCTTCTCTGAACTAGTCACCTGGTTCCAAACCTCTTTTATACTGTATCTCCGAGGGGTTAGACTGTTGTGGTGGAAGTTCGATGGGGTAGCGGCAAGTTATCAAAGGCAGCGGGGAGATTCCGTGCCCCTCCATCTCACCAGCCAACAAGCGAACATCGGCTCGGTAACTTACATCACCAGTCCACTCACGATTTCACTGCTACTGACATACGCATTTGCCGTCTGCTCTTAGACTATAGTGGGGGAAACGGACATCTTTGAACGGGTACAGGTAGATCCGTTGAGTAGCGGGACTTGACGATACGGTGGCGTTCGATTGCCCCTACTTACACACCCCGCATCCTAGTAGAAAATGCATTAGTACAAGAATGGGAGATTGGGGGAAGGCGAGGAGCAGGGAGAGACACGTATATATAGGACGGGAGTATCTGTCAAGGTTCTCATATCAAAGATCCGTATTTTAATCTAAACCCAATATCACACTACTAGGCCAATCACAATGTCTCATCCAGGGGGATGTTTCTGCAGCAAGGTAAGATTCTGAATAATCTTCCTGCAGTGACATGCTTGAGTATGTTTACTAATGGTAATCTACTTCTAGATTCGCATGAGCTACTCTGGCGAGCCTAATGCCCATGTCCTGTGCCACTGTTTAGATTGCAGAAAGATCTCTGGCTCAACCTATAGCAACAATCTTGTCGTTCCTGAGGACAACTTCAAGGTCGTCTCTGGTAAATCTTTCCTCCCATCCTCCCTCTACTCCAAGCCGTTCTAATGAAATGCTCTATAGGCACTCCAAAGACCATCTCCAAGGTCGCGGATAGCGGCAAGACTATCACCTCTCACTTTTGTGGAGATTGTGGTACCACGCTGTTCCGTACTGGAGATACTTTCCCAAATGCTGTCATCATCAAATCTGGCATATTGGATGACCCAGAGTGGCCGAACAAGAATGTTCCGAAGGGGGAGTTGTTCGCCCCCAAGAGAGTAGAGTGGGTTTCTGCTATCGATGGCGCCGCTCAGATGCCTGCCATGCCATAAGTGGATTCGCCTTGAATGTTGTATATAGTTGAAGAGAATGAGTCCGTCGACTTTTGACATCATGGTGTTGTGACTTCGTCCATTGTGCCTTTTTACGTGATAGACGGATCGATATGCGCAATGTTGCCTCTTATTCGAGGTGGTAATATCTTCCTCGCATATTCTCTTCCAATCTTCAACCCTGCTCTCACTAAATCTTCCACCCTGCTATCTTTCCTCTTCCTCAACCACAGCAGTACTATCCCAAGCACAACCATATCGATCGTGACATGTCGTATGGCCAACCACAGGAACCAGGCAACCCATCTCCCAAAGGACTTTCTCTTCTTCCCTTGATATTCCCTTCCCGTAGCAATCTGCTCTCTCAGTGCCGCAATCTCAGCAGTCATCTTAACCAAGGCCTGCTCAACCGTCTTCCTCCACCTTCCGGTCTTCTCGTTCTTCTTCTCATCCTTCTTCTCCCCATCATTATACTCATCGTCATCCTCTTCATACGCATCATTATACCCCAGCCTCCGCTCCTCCGACTCTCTCTCCGCCTCGCTCATGGGACTAAGCACTCTCATGGGCCCATCACCTCCTGAAAGCGGCTGCTGGAACTGTCTAGTTTGCGTCGTGTACGAAGGGACTCTTCTTCCAGGTGAAGATCCTGAAGAAGAAGCGCTGTTATTCTTGATCTGATCCCACACAAATTCTAACTCCGCTACCAGCTCCCTCGCATCTCTACTTCCCATTAGCAATCTAGCCCCAAGACGAAACCGGGTGGGAGAGAACTTACGCAGTCGTACTGGCATACCGATGCATAGTCTCGATCAGCGCCTCAATATATCTCCTCTTCGCTTCCGTCCTGCTAATTCCCCGCTGCGCATCCCACGCATCGTATTTATCCCTCTCCCTCTTCAACTCGTCGCCCTTCGGGCCCCCATCCTCTTCACTAACCGGCCGTTCCATAACGCCGTCCACATCCCCTTCCATGGCTTGTTTGTAGAGGCCATAGAGGCGTAATCGGTCGGAGGGAGGTGGACGTGAGGCGCCGGTCTTTGGGATCTTTTTAACGGTGTTGAGCGCGTGAACGAAGACACGGTCTGGAAGGGGGTTGAAAGATTAGCTAGAGGGCTTGGTCAAGAAGAGGCTGTAGAACACGTATGACAGGCACACACCGACTGAATCCGCCATCTTATCTGCTCCCACCACTATTTTTCAACGGGAGATTATCTTCGGGGGACTAGATTCGAAGCAAGTCGACAAGGAAAAAGTAAGGAAATCTACGAGGACAACATGTGGGCAAGTAATGATCATAAAAGAGTGGTAGTATTTTTGGACAACGTTGGGTTATTGTTGGGCTGGCAAGAGGTAGAAATTACCCTATCATGCGCATGCATCATTACTCGCAAGTCCCCATTCATCGCGTGCGGTGTTGTTGATGCCGAGGCGTTGCAGGGATGACTCGGGAGTGTGGAGGTGGAGGTGGGGGCTAATAATAAGACACTCAACCCCGGTTTTCCCCCCTTTTTTTTTGTTTCTTCTGGAAAGATGATAAGGTTAGGTTAGATATATTAGTATTTTAGTATTAAGATGCGCATAATGATTGGTAACACTTTGGTGTTTCATTTGATGTTGAATCCCTCTCACAAACACTAAATTTCCCGAAGCCCTGATATTGCCCCCAATCGGGACATGTGAGTATTACAATGTTCCACCTCGAGTAAGTGATTAATTACCAGGAAACAGAGGGTATCACCAAAGCAGTCATATCCTCAATCGAGATATTTAATCGAGTTTTATATTTCCTCACTCGAGATGAGACATTTCTTTTGCCAAAGCCAATGCTTAGCTGGGTATCATTGTTATACATCTCAAGTCTTACTTAGAGCCTTTGCTTGTTCCACGGCCTCCTTGTCCAGCCGATCCTGTTCTTCCTGCATCCTCTTGCGTTCCACATAGATAGCCATCATTTTCTTATTGTTCAATGCCTGCTCAGCAGCTTTGGTCCCAGCCTCTTTCTTTCCATTAGCAGAACCACGACCAAGCAGCTTGTCTCTCTCTTTCCAACCCGTCAAGTAAACACCGACAGTGAAAAGGGGTAGGCTATTCGTACGGTCTTTTCCCGGCGGTCCCATGTCCCTGTAATCAATCTTGATGCCTCTTGCCCCTAAAGCTTTCTGCAACTGATCCTTGGGAGGTAGAGGAGCCTTCTGTTGGGTTATCATGTCCCTCGCTGCTCCCACTAACTTCCACATTGGATTTTGAATCTCGATACCTTTCGTCTCTTCTTCTCGTATCTCTTTTGCCAGCGTCCTTCCCCAGAGACTCTTTAGCCATTCCGCTGCTCTGGGCAATCCATTTTCCGGATCCGATAGTACGATAGCAGCAACGTAGGCTTCAAACATATCTCCCAGAATCTTAATCATATCTTTGGCAGAGGGCTTAAAATTTGCACCTAGGTTTGCACGCTTGTCGAAGCTGTAGGCCGTTGCGTATTCCGATAGTGTGAGATTCCTGACGCAGCGTTCTCGTAGTTGTGATAACTTACCGGGGGTATGGTGAGGGAACGTTTGGCCAATTAGGAGAGCGGCAATGATCTCCATATAGCTGTCACCGATCCATTCTAGGCGCTCGTACGTGATATCCGTGATCCTGCCAGCCCCGGCATTGGTGTGGGTGAAAGCTGCTTCTTCCAGGGTCTTATCCAGGACTGCGGGAAGCGGTGGAAGGTCACTTGGGAGTTCAGAATGCTTCCAAGAAGTAATAGAAGCGGGTGTCAGGGTTTTGGGGATGTTGGGTCCATCTTGCTGCTTAGGGGGTGATTTGGGAGCCCGTAGAATTGTCTGAAGTTCGAGACAGCGATTTAATGCTTCGTCCCCAATCGAACTTGGAGTTGCATCCTCCTCCAATGCGGCATCCAGCGCTCTGAGGAGGTTAGAGATTTTTTGAGAAGGTTCTGGCGGAGAGTCATCTGACTTAATATGGGTTCAGAAATAATGTCCTAAAGGTGAAGAAGGGCTTCTTACATGGTGGTGCTTCTTATGCTTCTTATGCTTTTTCCCACCCTCTTCTAATTGTCCCACATCGATTGAGTGATTTTGCCGCTTATTGCTTTCAAGGCCCTCCATGATCTAAGATGATCGTATCTTATTAGCAGTGATGATGATTTATTCAGGCCAGGGTCCAAAATCTTGTGATATAATTTTGTAGTTCCTGGCTAAACTTCGGCCTATGCCCCATGGTGTGTTTTTGTATCTAAAAAGCGGCACTCATTTCCGTCAACTTTTCAGGCTCGGAACCTTCAAATTCGGTGCCGCTTTTCTATTCAGGAGCCGGCAAAAGTCCGTCGACGTCGCTGATATCTACGAAGATTGACAACTACCATTGAAGAAACACCATCCGCAAAAATGGCTGTGCCACGCTCACGGATATTAGACCTCATGAAGGTAGACTCACATATCTTTCCAGTCTTATTGTAGAAGTAGTACTGATGTTTGCCAGGTCCAATGCCGCATTTTCTCGCACACCTTCAACCCCGAAGGCCTTCGACTAGGGAACAAAGTCCTACGACAGCGATTAAGGGGCCCGGCATTGGCTGCATACTATCCACAAAAGATGGCGACGTTCAAGGATCTGCAAAAGGCATACGGAGACCAGTACGAAAACTTTGACGAGGAGCAAGAGGACCGATTGGAGAAGATCAAGATGTATGCGTACATTGAACCCAGGGCTTGGAATACATATCCTGACACGTTTATAGGATCAAGGCGAGAGGAAAAGGTGCACCGAAGAAGAAGAGGACAGCAGCGGGTATGTGTAGCTACCGCGCCACTCTGATGTGATGCTAACACGCGTTTAGAATCGAAGAAGTTCAAGGGAAAGAAGAAGTAGCCCTGGGCGACTGTGTAGAAGGGAGAATTTGTATCGAATACGGCATCACTGTAGCATATACGGCGTTTGGTGGCATCCATGGGAATGTATGGTGCTCGAGGTGGATGTCAGAAATAAACAGAGTCATTCTACGAAATCGGATACGATATTGACAGTCGATTTTCCGCATGCTCATTTGCGCGTAGGTTCTTGTAATTTGTTATGTTGTAAATCTTGCTTAAGTCTGTGAGGGGGGCTCTTTCCCCTGAACCTTTGCGTCGTGTTATACTTGCCAATTTTTGTTGCCGCGCTATTAATTTACGTTTGCTGTATTGAAGCTTTCCGGATACTGCTATTCCGACGATGAAGCTTTCGGAGACTGATATGTCGGAGCATTGGTGGTAACTTCCTCACTACGGTGCTAGATTAAGGCGGACTTGGTGGAGCGATCGTGATTGCAAAAGAAGGTATGCTCTGGTACTGTTAAACACTCATAAGACCCGCAAGCTGATTCCTCACACTGATCCAGAGCAGCTTGTCTTCTACCAGCCTTGCCCGGGCCCAAATATTTCTCACAGAACCGAACGATTCTAATCATAGTTTGTACTGAACCTTGGTAGAGCTGAATGATTCTTAACGGGATTTGTGACAAAGGCCATGGCAAATTCTTGAAGTCCAGTAATTAAAGCCCCTAGAATTATCCTGCAATAATGACTGACTGAAAGTAGACAGGCGTGGAAGAGATGAATTAATGTAATCCAGTTGTGAGGCTTTTGAAATAGGAGATTAATCACCTACCACGTAGCCCTTTGAAATTCATCTCTAGCCCAGTTCAATCTGAACAAACTCACCGATGGGTTAGCCATATCGACAAACACGAAGAAGATTTGTTACGCGACTGGCCGCCTTCCTCTCTCGCGTACAAAGGAGGCACTCTTTCTTCGCCAACGCACTAATTTATTATTGACTTCAACTCGTCTTGTTTTCCAACAAACTTTGTACTCAATCCAGCACTGACTAGGCAATCTCCTGGGGAATATATCTCATGTGCACCTTCTTCATTTAGTCCACCGGAGCTACGACTCGTATTTGAACTACTTATTTGCGCTTCCCTTCTTGTCTCTTTTCATTCCTTCACATCTACCTCTCAACTTCACCACCCACCTACGCGTCGGGGTATTTGAAGCCATTTCTGCGGCCTTAGCTCAGCTATCCCATTTCAAGTCCCATTGAAGATAGCACCTCCAGAACAGGACAGACCCGATAACCAAGATGTCTGCTTCTGCGTCGACTGGCTCCCCAACGCTGCGTCGGGCGACAGCTAGAAGCTCGTCCCAGGAAAACCCGACGACTTTGGAGGATAAGATGTCAGCTCGTACTGTTAGTATTCTATCTTATCTTCTTCCCTGATCCTGCAACAAGGGCTCTTTGCAATCCGATTCACTTACACGCCCGCTTCTTCCTCTTTTTCTCCTCATCAGTTCAATTTCCCATCCTCCCACGTCCCTTTCACCCCCCTTTCTATCCTCTACCCCTGCTTTCCTTTTCTACGACACATTGCCTCGCAATAACATTATATCTCCTCAATGTTTCTGCCATTATCTATCATATCTGAACTAACATATTCAATAATAGGACCTTGCTTCTTCTCTCAAGAAGTCTGCAACTGCCCTTTCCTCCAGCAAGCTTGGCAATCAGGCTGCACCAAAGGTTAGTTTATAGCAGCTTCATGGCTCTCTCATTGTCAGTATCCCTGCTAATCCCTACAGAAGATGAAGACTAGCCACGAGTCCAGCCCTTCTACGGAACTCAACCCCATGGACAAGCTGCTCGCAAAGCTCTCGGAGCAGTCGGCTGCCATCAATAAGCAACACGAAGCTCTCAAGTACTCGGAGGATAACCTTGCCTACTCTCGCACCATGGATTTTGTCTCTGCCAGCAGCTCTCTGCCACCCACGCCAGCCACCGATACCAAGAACACTAGTACCGCCCCGAGCACTGGCCCAGCAAGTGTCATTGGCGAGGAAACTACAAATGTGGGCGATGATGAAGTCCTCCGTCTGAAGCTCGAGCTCGAGGCCGCCAAAAACAAACTCGCTCGCATGGATCAAGAGCTTGCTCAAAGCCGCATCAGGAAGCATACCATAGATCAAGCGATGGGTTCTATCTCGGAAGCTGATTACCCATTGACCGTCGTTGATAATGGCCTCAATCCCAACCTGCCACAGCACACCGTTCGCCCCCACATCCAGCGTGATAATTCTTGGGCAGCTCAGGAGGATTCTCGCTCTGATACTAGTGATGCACTCTCTGCTAATGAGTTCAATCGGTCTCGTTCAATCTGGGGCAATGGCGGGAGACCTCCATTCAACGGCCAGGGCTCTGTTCCTGCATACCCACCCCCGGACGCACTTGCCCCAACTCAGTGGATGAATCGCGGTTTTGCCCAACCCTTCGACACACCAATGCCATTTTCTGGTCCACCTCAGGCTATGAACTCTTTCCGGGGAGACCGTATGATGCCCGACCCAGATCTTCTGACGGCTCCTCCCGCTAGTCGTCGTAATAATCAAATGGGTGGTCGCTTTGCCCGTGGCTCCTTCCCCTACGCAAGCAGCAACTCTTCCTACGATGGTTACACTTCTGCTACGACCCAATACGGCTCTGTTGGGGGTATGGGCGGCGGCGTTGCCCCTATGGGCGGACAAATGGGCATGGATGCAGGCATGAACGGGGGTGGTAGCGTATACGGTGGCTATCAACCTCAACCAATCGGCACCCCACTGTCCCCTCATGCTCCCGAGTTCACGTCCGGTCATTCAGGATATGTGAGTACCCACTATTTCCTTCCTCGTCACCCTTGCTAATGAAGCTCCAGGCGCCCAATACCGAAGGCCAGACCTATCTGCCAACCACCGAACCTCTCAACTACCGCCGTCTTCTTGATCGTACTGTCAACTGCAATTGGAAGTACATTGTCGACAAAATCGTCTGCAACAACGATCAGCAGGCTTCAATTTTCCTTCAGCAGAAGCTTAAGGTTGGCACAACAGAACAGAAGTTTGATATTGTCGAAGCAATTGTCGCTCAAGCATATCCTTTGATGGTGAACCGGTTTGGAAACTTCTTGGTTCAGCGTTGCTTTGAACATGGCACTACTGAACAGGTAAACAAGATTGCGGAGGCCATTCGCGGTAATACCTTGAATCTCTCCATGGACGCATTTGGCTGCCATGTCGTCCAGAAGGCTTTCGATTCTGTTCCCGAGGACTACAAGGCCATCATGGTTCACGAGCTCCTTCGCCGCATCCCAGAGACCGTCATTCACCGTTATGCTTGCCACGTTTGGCAGAAATTGTTTGAACTTCGCTGGACCGAGTCTCCGCCTCAGATCATGAAGTACGTCAATGAGTCTCTTCGTGGCATGTGGCACGAGGTCGCTCTTGGCGAAACTGGTAGCTTGGTTGTCCAGAACATCTTTGAGAATTGTCTAGAAGAAGACAAGGTGAGTACCCCAGAGATCCTTTATCTCCAAAACATGCTAAGTCCATCTCAGCGCCCCTGCATTGAAGAGGTTCTTGCGAGCATCGACATCGTTGCCCATGGTCAATTTGGCAACTGGTGCATTCAGCATATTTGCGAGCATGGTGCTCCAGCTGACCGCAGCAGAGCAATCGACCATGTCATCCGTTATGCTTCCGAGTACAGCATGGACCAATTTGCCTCCAAAGTTGTTGAGAAATGCCTCAAAATTGGTGGTGTCGACTTCCTCGGCCGCTATCTTGACCGTGTTTGCGAAGGTCGTCTTGATCGCCCCCGCATTCCGTTGATTGACATTGCAAGTGATCAGTACGGAAACTACCTCATCCAGTACATTCTCACTCACTCCAATCCTCAACACCGCGAGATTGTTGCTCAGCATATCCGAAAGCATATGGTCTCTCTCCGTGGATCTAAATTCGGTTCTCGAGTTGGCATGCTCTGCACCAACCCCGCCATCCAGACTCGCCCTGGTCCTGGTGTTGGCCCATCCATTGGCGCCCCCGTTCCTCGTATGGTTCCTCAACAGCCTCCTCGCTATGGTGGTGCTTATCGCTAGATATCCTACCGTCATCTCCCCCGTTTGCTGTCTTGCTTCGTCATATTGCTTCGCAGCGTCTTGGTTCCCACCAGATCTTGTTTGACAATCGATATCATCGAACAACCATAACGATACTCCGTACAACATATTCGACCGGGCTCTTGTCTCTCTTTCCGCTTTTGGACTTTCAGATCTATGGATGTCTCAATTGGCTCTCCACACATCCTGCGAAAGTCACCTTAGGCATTGTCGTCTCTCTACCGTATGCCACAAAAGGCTTTTGTTATTGAAGTCCAACCTAAGATATTTCCTTGTTTGTTCTAACAGCATATTTCTTGGCAACCTAGTCTACCATTACTGGTCATCCTAAACAGAGGAGTGTCACTCTTCGGTGCATTGGACACATTATGATTACGGGTTTTGCAGTACGTTGTCCTGGCAGGCTCTTGTTTCCATATCGAGATTGCGGCGATCAGGAGAAGAGGGTATGGATTTATTCTGCGATGGCAGAGAGTTATGTGGAGGAGGAAGACGAGCTATTATACTTCTTGCTCGCATGCTTGTACCCAAAAAGAACTCGAAAGTCAAAAGCTTTGTTATCTAGTCTCTCCTTAGGTTCGAATAAAATGACTTTCAGAAATTGGCGTGTGCTAGTAATATGTACTGTAATTAGATAGGCATCGAGAAAGCTGTGCTTGTAATACTTGAAGGGCGTTTGATTCGAACAGACCCGCAAGCGGAGCTTTTTGAGAGTTATCAAATCACCGTCCAAAGCAAAACATCATGAGAATGCCGTACTTGGTATTGCAATAACTGCTTCGAGAAGTAATGATAAGCCAACCACCAAAAATCACCGCAATATAGCGCCCAGCTTCTCAAAGAGCAAGCCGCCGCCTCCCAACTCCAATCCGGAACCCACGCTAAATGTAAAGTGATCGCGAATGTCTATGTTCTAGTCCAACATGTCCTGAAATAAATGCAGAGTGGACGGACGCGCCACGCAACTTTCCGCCAACATTCTCATGTCTCTAAACTAGGAGCATCATCATTATCCGGAAACTCCTGTTCAATAGGCGCCTCGTCCCTCGCATCCCCAAACGTGCCACCCACAACCTCCTCGCTGTCTTCCTTCTCCCACGGCTTGCGCCTCTTGGGTGCCTGCGGTGTACTGCCTTGGCCCGTGAGCACCGTGTCAGGGATGTCCATGATGCCGGGGATAGGCGCGCCGCTCTGGATGAGCTCGACGATTTGCTTGAAGGTTGGCGGGTAGGGGGCGTCGCCGTTGGGTTGGGCCGGGGGTGTCTTGGTGATGGACATGTCGTCTTCTGTAGTAGATGGAGGAATGTTTTCGCTAGTGGTTTGTCGGGCGGTTTGGGTTGGAGGTTCTTTAGAGTTCGAGATTGGGGTGGGCGGTTGTTTGGTTGATAAGTATGTTTTGTAGGCGTCGAAGTCGATGGGGGTGGATCTCTTGCGGGAGAGGTAGAAGCATTGGGCGCGAAGGGTGAGGTCTTCGAGTTGAGAGGGTGAGGGGTTTGGGCCTAGGATTGCTGAGAGTCCACCCTGATGGTGGGTGTTAGGAGGTTGCAACGTTAAAATTTAAAGTTCTTTGAAGTGTATGGATGCGACTAGAGCGGCTATAGAATTTACCAAGTGCTTCCATGGGCATTTTTTGTCTTATTGGAGCTCTTTCTTCTCTCCAATCTAATACATTCTTTACCTCATTGCCGAGGCTGATGAGGGGTGCTGATGAGGGGTGAGATGAATGAATATTTGGTAGACTTACCTGGAATTCTTTATCTTTGTCCCATGGATATGTTTCCAGTTGCCGGAAGATTTCTATATTATCGACAAGCGGCAATGCTTCGGTCATGGTTGTGATGGTAAAACTGGACAAGTGAAAAAGGTGGTGTAGAAGCAAAACATCACCCGCATAAGGCTGAGGTTGAGAATTGCGGCAAAGGACCAATCAGGCTGCCGGAGAACGGACCACAAGCACAAGTTTAGACGACCCTTCAAAACTCCCAGCCTTTTTTACCCTCTTCCTCCACAAACAACACCCTTTACTTCTTTCCCCCAAATCCCGTTGCGCAAACCACATTCAACACGCAAATTGACTCTTCTATTCCATTCAATTCATTGCGAGCTTGCTGTGAGCTGATCGCCGTGTCGCAAATTGTACGATGGCGGAATTCTTAGGGTCAGTTTTGAGGCTGAACGTCTCGATCTGTGGCTCTCGATGCTAATAAGATGCCTTACAGAGCGAGGATTTCGCTGGTCTCACGGAGTGACATTCGGTACACATTGCGCGCCTACTTCTGCCCATCAGACGCGCTGACAAGAAGCTAGATATGTTGGGACATTACATGAAATCAACTCAGAAAACTCGACCGTCGCTCTCGAGAATGTCACCTCCTACGGCACAGAAGGGCGGAAGAACAACCCTGAAGAGGAGATCCCGCTGTCCGACAATGTCTACGAATACATTGTGTTCCGTGGCAGCGATGTGAAGGATTTGAGGGTCGAGGAGCCCCCTGCAGCCAAGGAAAACAAGCCTCCACAGGTCCCTAATGATCCTGCTATTCTTGGAGTAAGTGCGCATATCCTACAGCCTTTGGCCCCATTTCAGTTCGATACAAATCAATTAGCTTTAAGTGATGAAGAATTTTCGGATGTTAAATCATTATTGTCTCCGAGAGCGCAAAATCATGTGGAGATTTTCCGTTGCCTTCCTTCTGATTATCATAAGCTACACCGCTTCTTTCAACTGGACATTTAGATGAAGCAGTTTACTGACTACTTCTGTATAGAGCGGATCCCGTCCTACACCCCAGACCTCACAGCGTCAAGGGCAACAGCTTCCGCCAGCTCTTCTGCAACACCCTCAAGAATCAGGACCTAAGGTGCCACGTTCTCAGCAGCAAGGTCCCCAGCAGCAAGGTCCTCAGCAGCAAGGTCCTCCCAATGGCCCTCCTTTCCCCCAACATCCTGGATATCCACCGCACTTCTATCCTGGCCCACAAGGATGGGGTCGTGGTGGTCCTCCGGGTCCCGGCGGATTTCCTGGTATGCCTCCGTATGCTGGCCCACCAGGCTGGTATCCTCCACCAGGACAAGGCTTTCCACAAGGTCCTCCCGGTCCGTTCCCTCCTTATGGCTACCCACCAGGGCCTCCAAATCAGCAATTCCAAGCCCAAGGCCCCATGCCAGCACCAATTGGCCCAGGCGCAAATAAGCCATCTACATCACCCTCTGCTGGCCATCCAAATGACAAGCAAGCTGAGCCCAAGAGCTTAGCAAGACCTGCTGCAGAAATGGCTGCTGCGTCAGTTCAAAAGCCTCCAACGCCACCCGCTGCATCTAAGCCATCTCCTACTGAAGTTCAAGCTGCTGTCTCAAAACCATCGACTGCTCAAATCGCCGCAAGTGCCGCAAGTGCCGCAGCTGGACCAAAGTCAAGTGCCGCCAAAAACAATAATATCGTCCAGCCTGCTATCCCGAACCTCATTGGGGTCAAGGCACCACTGAGTCGAAGGTCTGGCAATGTCCCTACCTCACAAGTTGGTGCACCCAGCTTGAAAGATGCAACTGAAGCTGCGACGGCGGCAGTTGCTGCGGCCATGGCAAAACTTCCTCCTGCTGGACAGTCAAATGGTAACGCCGTTGATAACCTGACGAGACAAGTCAACGAAATGAGAACGAATGATACAACTCGTGCTCCACGCCAGCCTAGTGGTGGTGCCGGATTCAACCACACCAGGGGGCAGAGAGGTGGACGAGGTGGAGCAGGTGGAGCTCGACCTGCGGAAAAGAAGGTCGAGGTTCCAGCTACTGATTTCGACTTCGAATCTTCCAACGCAAAATTTAACAAGCACGATTTGGTCAAGGAAGCAATTGCTGGCGACGTTGTCGGGTCGCCTGTTGGAGAAACGCCATCAGCTGCATCCCCTGATGCAGAGGTTCCAGTTGGAGGCTACAACAAATCTACATCGTTCTTTGATAATATCTCTTCAGAGAGCAAGGATCGTGCTGAGTCCAACAATGTTCGGCCAGGTGGACGAGAATGGCGCGGAGAAGAACAGAAGAAGAACGTCGAGACATTCGGGCAAGGGAGCGTCGATAATGGCTATAGAGGTGGATATCGTGGTCGAGGCCGTGGCCGTGGAGGCTACAGAGGTGGCCGAGGGTATGCAGCAAACGGTCAGACAGGCCGAGGACGTGGGGGATATCGCGGTGATCGCGGCGACGCCCAACAGATAGTGCAGTAATTACGACATCCTCAAAAGGCTGCTGCTTGCTTTCACGAAACTGGAATTTCCTTGCGCTGTACCAAAATCACTTGCGACTAATCTACTATTTCGGAATCGGGCGAAATTAAAACAGCATCTTTCGGTGTTTCACGGCTTAGCTACGCTAAAGCTTACTAGGAAACTACGGCTTCGGGACATGGCGGATGTGTTATTATTTTCTTTTTTACTGATTTTCTACTTTCATTGCAAAACTTGTATCACCAGGATCAGTTCATCATGGACGCAGAACGAACGACGAACAGGAAACTTGACGAATATGACCGGACGTTTGCAGCAATCTTGGTTTGGATTGGGGGTGGCGCTTGCGGACATAGCAAATCTGATCTTGAATGAATGGATGGAATGGGGCCTTTGCATTTCAAGCACTGGGAAAATGGCATCTCTTTTTCATCTACTTAAGCCGGGGCGGACTTCTTCGTTTGGTACCTCATGAAAGGAAGGGATAACATGGAGTTGGTTTATAAGATAGTAGCTCTTGCCTGGTATCACAATGGGCATCTGCCTTTGCTGAGATGGGAGATGAGCGGGATTTCTTGTGATCCCTACGTGGTGATGAACAATTGATATGGTGGTGGGTTTGAGGCACTGGATGGGATACTAGATAATGCAGTACTCGTCACTATTTCAAGATGCTTTCAAACCATTTCTACGACCTTCCTAAACTTATGCATACACACAATGTCCTAGGAACTTGTTCGAAGGCAGGGCAGGTACACCTACCTGACTAATCATTACACACCAGCCACCGCCTTGCCTAATTGAGAACCTTGAGCCCCCAACTCGTCAGGCTCTCTGCCTGGGTGTTTTCCAGTAGGTAGCGTTTCGCTGAAAGAACATGTACGTCTGCTAACTTCGGGCTTTCAAGAGTCACTTAAGCATGCATCAACACAAACTATTCATTCAGATGTCAGGCGGACCAGGTTCTGGCAAAAGCACCATAGCGAACCTATTAGCACAATCGATCGATGGGGTGGTGATCAATCACGACCTCATCAAATCCTTCTTTCTCGAGAATGGCATGCTCTTCGACCAAGCCGCGAAACTCGCCTACGGCTTGGACTGGAGACTCGCCGAAGACTTGATCAAACAAGGACGGAGTGTGATCCTCGACAGCGTGTGCAACTACAACGAGACACTGGACCGGGGAATCGTCCTTGCGAAACAGTACGGATATGACTACAAGTACGTCGATTGCAGGGTCGACGATGTTGATTTGCTGGATCAGAGGCTCCAGAGTAGAGTCTCGCTGAGGAGTCAGCGGACAGGCGTGAATCGTCCCCCGGGAGATGTCAGTGGTGCCCGTGAAACCAGGGATTATCGTGCGGTCTTTGAAAGGTGGATGGAAGATTCGGGCTGGCCGGCCGGCATTGCTGTTGTCGTGAATTCAACTCGCAGCCCAGATAAGTGTCGAGACGATATACTGAAGCAGATTGTCTCTCCCTCCGTACTGCCGGTGTCAAACAAGGCCTAGCTTTTGGGTTGGGAGTTTGGGGTTGAGGGGTGGAAATCTCAGAAACAAAAACTGTAGAACGACTTGGACCGGCAGCGACGGTAATGATGGCCGGCGCAGAAAAGCCTAGAGCGATGCGATATAGACTTTGAGCTTGGCGACTTGTTCTACATGGATGCCCGCTATACTAGTTCGATCTATACTGTCCACGTGACAACGTCTACATGAAACGCCGAACGCGAAAGTGCAACCGCGTTTGACCAAGTATTGAACCAAGAAAACCAAGAATTTCTATACGTACTATCAACACTTCACACCATAATCCAACAGTCCAAGAATCCGGAATCCAGCATCGAGAATCCAATAATTCAAAATGCCTCCCCTCAAGACCGGTACTTGCAACACTTGCTCCAGCGAAAATGTCAAACTCCGCCCAAACCCATTCACCACGAAAGAGCAGTGCGAAGACTGCCGCAACGCCTCCATAATCGGGGTCACCGATATAAAATCACGATTCAAGCTCAAAGACGACGATCTCAAGGACTTGGAAATGGTCACGGAGCCCAAGCCTGCGTTTCTCGGCGGCGCTGATCGTCGATGGTATCTCGTTGAGCAGGTGGAGAAGAGGGCAGAGGAGAAACTGAAGGATATTGAAGCGAAGGAGAAGGAGAAGGCGGAGGCGAAGGATAGGTCGGCTGGGTCTGGAGCTGCTAAAGATAGCAAGCGGAAGAGGGGGGAGGAAATGGATCAGGAGAAGGAGGATATGCAGGAAGACAAAGTTGATCCTCCTGCCAAGCGTGGACGCGGCAGACCTCGAAAGGTGATCGACGGTCTATCTTCAAAGGCAGCGGCAGCCAAGGTACCGGTTGTCGACGACGATGCAAAGCCAAAACGCGGACGCGGCCGACCCCCGAAGGAGAAGACGGCGAAAACGGTGAAGACGGTGAAGAAGGTAAAGAAGTAAATGAGATGGATGGGTGTTCTGCCAAATATTAGGCATCATGGACAGGAATCCACATTTGTAATGTTTAAGTATTGTTTGTTAGCAGACGGTTGCACTGCGGGAAGTCTGTTTGAGATGGGTCGTTCTGCTTTTTTGCTTGGTTTGAGGTCAGGAAAAGGGCGTCTTTGAAGATCGGCATTCGATGAAGTTTATGGAAGCCGTGTTAATGGAGAAGGGGAAATGGAGTCTCTGGCCGAGCAAATGTATAACGCTCCGCATTATTCCTTTACTGTTACAATGACAGTACAAAATACAAGAATTATCAAATTCCGTTCTAATTCTTTCTGCTTTGGATTGGAGATTCAAGCCGTTCACGTCTAATACATTCAGTCACATGCACGAAGATGTCAAGAGGTATGATATGCTCCCTATTTGGTATCCGAGTATCCCTCTACCTATATCCATGTCGTCTAATGATAATAGATGAATACCAATGCCGAGACCACACTACAATACCAGAAAGAAATACCCAAGCGGCAGATGCACCAGCGGGACAAGGTGTCCTTTTTGGTTGGGAGGTTGAGGTCGCTGCGTAGGCGTTCGTAGTTGATTATGGTATTTTTGACCTGGGTGAATACGTTGGGCTGTTTCATGACTGCAAGGCAGAATCCAGTTCATTAGCCTTGAATGTGAGTGCTTCGTTCATGGGGGAGGTTTATGATAGCAGGTACTCGAGTAGTGGTTATTGTGGAAGACGGATTGGGGGTATGTAGAGGAGTAAGGATGCTTTGAAGAATGCGAGTGTGGGGTTAAGCTGTTGAGATATGTTAAGGTGACCACTATTCTGCGGAGTTGAAGTCGTCTGTCTGTCGTTGTCTGCATATAAGTTGGGACATATTTAATCACATAGGTATGACTCGAGGAAATTAGTTTTGTGTTAAAGGTAGGCATAGCATGTGTGAATTCAATTGCTGTTGGGACCATCGATCTCATGGCAGAATCATAGGTTGGAAGGAGCAAGTTCTTTACCATTAATACCGCTCACTATCATGTAGCTTTCCATTATTATATTCGGTGTCTATAGATTCAACTAACAGCAACTCGTACGAAACTATAGCTCCGGCTATTCAAATGAAACCTCGACAATATGACTTGTAATTTGTAAGCATCTATATTGAAGCATTGTGAGGTGATAGTGACGACAAGGGTGGTATGATAGCAAACAGCTTTCAAAGCTGGATATGCATGATACCAAAAGCATTGAACTTGAGCAGGATCAGAGATTGCAAGGTAGCAGCGGCAGTTACAAAAATGCTCAAGAGCATTACATGCAGGGATAAAGAAGGGCAGTAAACGGATTGCGCTTCGACATTTTGATACGCAAAAAAGCAAGCATGACCAGGGTTGAAGAGAAGTACGTGAATGCCTTGTGCGAACGGGGTGATAACCTTGGTGGCTGGGATAAAACCGGAAACTTCTCCAAGTATCACTCACACTTTATGATATTTCAACCACTTGTCACCCAAGTTTCGTACAAATTACTTCCCTCGATTCCTAGAATCCATCCTCACTTTAATAACTCTTCAATCGAGATCCAGGGTGCCGCAAACCACCATGTCTCAATCAATTACCTTCACAGAAGCAGACCAGGCTCTTATGGTCGCCATTATCAGCCAGTTGGGAATCGGCAAGATAGATAGAAAACAGCTCCAACTCGACCTAGGCCTTGCGACCATAGGCACGGCTGATGCGCGTCTGTCTCGATTCAAAGCCAAGCTTGCCAAAGCCAAAGGCGAAGGTGAAGGCGGATCACTAGCCCCCACAAAGGCCAAACGAGCATCGCCGACCAAGAAACGCAAGATCAAGGTCGAGGAGGCGGAAGATCACAGTGAGCATTTTGAGGATGGGATGACTGATAACAATTCTACTGGTATGATGGCAATGGAAACTCCAACTCGCAAGGGTTCTGGACGGCAGGCTAGGGTTCGATCGGTCAAGGAAGAGCTGGATGAGGTGGACTACGAGTTTCAGGAGTCGGGTTTGGGCAATATCTGGGAGTAGGAGTTGAAGAGGAGGGGTAGTGGGGAAATGTTCCGGTGGGGCTGTGGAATCTTGCTGGTTGTTTAGAAAATATGATAGGTCAGACCAGATTGTTTGCTTTTGATGCTATGGAACGTTTGCAGGGGGGGTGATTGGACACTTGCGGAGATAAGAATATGATTGGGGTTCTCACGTCTCGTAGACTTTGAATCTTGTGAACTCCAAGCGCTAAGTTCAAGATCTTTGATAGATATTTGGACGAATTGTAGAGTTTTGAAGAAGGTTCGAGCTCTCGAATGATGTTTTGAAACCATGGTTCCAGTGGATGAAAATTGAGTCAAGAAGGAACAAGAATTGAGCAGCTAGATCTCTAGCAAGTTCCAGAGCTAGGAAGCTCGTGAAGGTATTTGTGAATTGTAGATAAGCAACCAAAAAAGAAAAGAAGTGAATGGAAGTAGTTCTCTAGTATAGATCGAGTTTTGCCTCCGTAGCTCCGATCTATCTTTTCAACCCAAACCAACCTCGATACCACTCACAAATACTCAGCTCCGCATTCTCATACACATTCCACAAGAACTCACACCACGCATCACTCACTCCCAAGCACCATGGCTTCGAAGAACGAAAAACTCTGCATGGCCGTAATCAAGAACTCGACCGTCACGAACATCAACGTAAGGATAACTGGCTCTTTGATTTTACCCTACCCCCTTCTGTCATGTATCGTCTCGTGTACTCTACCTCCTATAAATTCCAGGAACTCGAAATACAAGCTCCCTCTACTCCCGAAACCGTCTTGAATAGGAAATAACTAACTCCTCCGTCATCTAGTGGGACGGCGTTGCAGAAGACTTGGGCAAGGGTACCGCAAAAGCTGCAAACTGCCAATGGTACCGTTTCACCAAGGCCTTCGCCCTCAACAGCAACAGCGCTAGCCCCTCGAAAACCACACCCGCAAAGTCTAACGGAAGCAAGAAGCGAGGGATTGAGGAGGTCGGGGACGGTGAGGAGGGTGAGGGAAATGTTGTTCATAAAAAACCTCGACTTGTGAAGAAGGAGG